AAACCCACCCCCATGCTCCACTCCGCCATCACCCCCCACAGCCCAAGCCCTCGACCCCTCCAACGCCAGCGAGATGGCAGGAACAGAGCCGGAGGGGCGGCGGAGGAGGTGAAGTTGCCGGCGAACGAGGAGGAGGAGGCGGCGAGAGCAGCGCCGCGCGCGGCCGCTTAGAATAGTTGCCGGCGTCGCATTCCGCCCCCGCCGAGATGCCTCCGCGATAACGCAAGTTTGATTTAATTAAAGAGTCGTCTGCGCGAGCCCCGGGTCGGGTACTTCCGCCGAAAGTACTTCGCCGCTCTTAACACGCTCGCTATTTGCGCCCGCTCCGGAAGGAGTTGTCTGGAGGGCCGCTGTCGAATTCCTGATCCTTCGGGAAAATATTCTGCTCCATTAGGAGCATTCAGTCCAAGTACATCACCCCAAAAGTTCCTCTCGGAGAGTCTGCTACTTTATGTGAGGAGAAAATAATTAAGAAGTTAAGTGTTTAAGAAAAATAATCGTGAAACTGTTTGTTATTCGGTATCCGATTCTGTTTGTGTTTTTACATTTTCTTCGCATTTGATTTAAAAATAGTTCATTTTGCCTAGATGATTGTTCGTCAAATGATGAAGAAATAATGATGTTATTATCTCTTCTGCAAATAGACCATCACAACGCACAAACTTTCATTTTTATTGGAAAATTTAAGGTCATTGTCTTCTCAGATTTGTTGAAGTTTGTGACTTGTGTTAGTCTCAGTTAACCCTTTCTTATTTATATACTGTTTTTACGTAATACTATCATTCATTTTTCATTACAAGTAAATGGTATGAAATTCCAATGTTTTTTATATTTTTCAATGAAGAAGTCAAGTAATAATTCCAAGTAAGTAATCCCATTGTCCTGCCAGAAGTCATGATAGAAAAATTGTCCCGGAATAATAATGGCAGAGACATAATCATTAATAAATTTAAAAATGTGTTGTTTACTACAATAAATCAACGACACTACCAGAGAAGCAATGAAATTCATTGCGTTGAATGTTGGTGCTTCAACGTGCCTGACATCATGCATTAAAATAATGTTACAAAACACTCTAAATGAATATAACACAAATTGCGAGTCGCAGCTTTCGAATCCAGATGGTGCTCAGATATTGGGCACCAGAAGGCATTGCGTCAACAACTATTATTGAACGGGACAATAGGTAGCGTTCGAGGAGGTAAGTCAGGGGCGAATATAGAAAGTATTTAGAGGATGGATCCATACCATTAATGTTTTTGACATACTGAACTAGTGATGCAGAAACATACATTCTCGCATTATTTGTAACGACTCCGCAATAATATACTACTACATGAACTTCCAAACGTGTTTCCAACCATCAAAAACTTTGGCTGTTAATAAAGAAGTGGTGCTACAACAGAACATACTTTCTCGCATTGGTTCTAAATTGGTTACTAAATTTCGAACACACAGGCTAAATTTCTAAACTAGTGAGTTCATCGAAAATGACACCCATGTCATTCTTTTAATCGCACCTCTTTCTATCAGTGAAAAACAATTGAAGAAAAAATCTGGAGATATTTTTGATAAAGTTGTATTTGATAATTTTAATTAATTTTAAGTCAAAATTATGCGAAAAGTACTTGTTATACTGCGTACGCAGTAGCGAAAAAGTAACATTTCATCAAGTAGGCAAAAAAAGGTTTTTATTGATATAATCAACATTTTGAAAAGTTCATCGAAAAAATGCAAATCGCGTAAAATATTAAAAACTACCAACTGATGCAAGACTCGGTCTCCCCTACTATGTTCTGACGATGTATGTGCCTTTTTTTATATGACTTTTGTTTTGCTAGGGTAAAATACTACTTGAACTTCTATTGAAGATGTACACTTTACAAGCTGTGATTTGTTAACTGTACATGAGTTTGAATATGAAATTAGGACTTCATCTGATTCTTCAGTTAGCCATAAACTGCATAGATAAGGCGAAACCATTTTTAGATGGTAATGGGAGTTAAGATAAGAGGAAAAAGGATGGGCAAAAGACAGTGCCCGTGCATTCTGTTCCGTTGCACTCACATTGGTCCCCAAAATAGATTCGTGTCTAATAGACGTATGAGTCACCAAATGCGCTCTTCACAAAAATCTTTTCCAGGAGTTTTGATTAAATGTAAGTCACACATTTCAAATGCCTTTTAGTACCTATCAATGTCATATGAATATCAAAAGAATCAGTTTCAACCCTAATAGTCGGTTATCGTTTTAACATCATTGATTTTCACGGAACAATATAATAAATGTACATGAACTGTAGCAGAGTTTACATACATTCACAGAAGTTCACTAAGAGAAAGTCTACTGGAAATTTTGAGTCTAAAAGATGTCAAAGGTCGTCGTGTTTGAAACAGTCCGAGAATACTCGATTACTATTACACGCCATTCAGCCAGTGCGAATAACTCATCTCTCATACAACCCGTTATGGAAGGTGTATAATGATTTTCCAGCAAAATTCTCGCTTCGAAAGGGGGGAAGAGCACAACTGCGCCGAATTCGGAAACAAGCGGACGACTTTCTCCGAGAAGACGGAATAAATGAACGCGGTAGAAGCGAGAAGAGGACGGAGGGGAACAAAAGGCGAACGCGGCAGGAAAATGACTCAGAGTGAGTCGGACAAGAAATTTCCAAGTTCCGCTCCCAGAGTCCCCAAGGATCTCCCTTCCCGCCCGCTCCCCGCCACGCTGCGTGGGGGGCGCAGTACGCACCTTTCTCGTGGCCCGCCCCGCCCCCTCAGGCTCCTCCACCGCCCTGGCGTCCTCCGCGCAGCCGTTCGCCTAATGGGGAAACCATCGCCCGATTTGCATAACGGCGACTTTTCTCTCGTCTGGGCGCGTGGAATCATCATTTTTCACTTGTCTTTCGGTGGCGGCGCGGGCGCAGGCGACTGCAGCCGGGCTCTGTCGGCGCGTAGATAAGCGTCTGAGAACGAAGTTGCGCCTCGTCTCGTCTTGCCGTGCCCCCGTCCCCGCACCCCCGCCCCGTTCCCGGGCCTCGCGCCCTAGGGACCAGCCCGCATCTCGCACCCCGCTCTTCCCGCCCGGCTACGCCTGCCCCAGCCTCCTCGCCCCCGCCCCGCTCTCGTCGACCTGCTCCCACCCGTCCCGCGCGCCACACCTTACCTCAGCCTTCTCTGCCCAGCCCCGCTCCGTCCCCGCCGGCCTACGCCTTTGCCCAGCCCCTTCGCCCCGCCCCGCATTCGTTCGACCTGCCCACCCCGTCCGTCGCGCACACCTACTCAGCCTAGCTCTGCCGAGTGATCATATGATAGTGGTCCAGTTAGACCGCTCCGTCCCGCCCGGCTACGCCTTTTTTTTAGGGCCCCAGCCCTCTCGCCCCCGCCCCGCATCTCGTCGCCTGCCCCACCCGTCCCCGCCGCAACACCTTACCTCAGCCTTCCTCTGGCCAGCGCCGCTTCCGTCCCCGCCCCGCTACGCCTTGCCCAGCCCTCCTCGCCCCCGCCCCGCATCTTCGTCGGCCTGCCTACCCCAGAACCACCGTCCCCGCGCGGCCACACCTTTGTACTGGTAGTTACCTCAGCCTTCCTCTGCCCAGCCCCGCTTCCGTCCCCGCCCGGCTACGCCTTGCCCAGCCCTCCTCGCCCCGCCCCGCATCTCGTCGGCGCTGGCTCCCACCCCACGTCCCGCGCGGGGCCAACACCTTACCGTAGCCTTTCCTCTGCCCGCCCGCTCGCGTCCCATGACGCCGGCTACGCCTGTGCTCTAGCCTCCTCGCTCCGCGCCGCTCCCGCATGCTCGTCGGCCTGCCCCACCCGGTCCCCGCCCGGCCACACCTTACCTCAGCCTTCCCTGCCCGAAGCCCCGCTCCGTCCAGCCCGGCTAAGCCTTGCCCCAGGCGGCCTCTCTGCCCCCGCTCCCGCATCTCGTCGCCTATAGATGCTGTAAGATTCTGTGGCTGCCGGCCCACCCCGTCCCCGCGCGGCCACACATTACTCAGCCTTCCCTCTGCCCGCCCGCTCCGTGTATTTGGTCCGCCCGGTACGCCTTGGGCCCCGCCCTCCTCGCCCGCCCGCATCTCGTCGGCCTGCCCCCACCCCGTCCCGCGCGCGGCATCACCTTACTCAGCCTTCCTCTGCCCAGCCCCGCTCCGTCCCCTGCCCGGCTACGCCTTGCCCCAGCCCTCCTCGCCCCGCCCGCCATCTCGTCGGCCTGCCGCCACCCCGTCGCCGCGCGGCGCACACCTTACCTGCAGCCTTCCTTGCCAGCGCCCGCTCGTCCACGCCCGGCTAACGCCTTTGGCCCCAGCCCTCCTCGCCCCCGCCCCGCATCTCGTCGGCCTGCCCCCGTCCCCGCGCGGCCACACCTTACCTGAGCTTCCTCTGCCCCAGCCCCGAGCTGGGTCCGTCCCCGCCGGCACGGGGCGCGCTTGCCCAGTAGCCAGCCTCCTCATCTTTAGTTCCCCTAGCCCCTGTGTGTAGAAAATTCATAGTGACACGCGCCGGAGACACCTCGATTGTCTAAGGTTGGGGATTAATACTATACATTCGCTCTGGAGCCCCCGCCGCGCATCTCGTCGGCGCTGCCGCCACCCGTCCCGCGCGCCACACTTACGTCAGCTTCCTCTGCCGCAGCCCGCTCGTCCCGCCCGGCTACGCCTTGCCCCAGCCCTCCTCGCGCCCGCCCCGCATCTCCGTGGCCTGCCGCCACCCGTCCGCGCGCCCACCTTACGTCAGCCTGCTCTGCCCAGCCCCGCTCCGGGGTTAGGTGAACGGAGAGGTGAAGTGTGGAGTGAATTGTGGTGATACGGTATGGGCCGAGGCCAGCTGGAGGGGCGTGTCTAAGTATGGCGTGGTGCTGTTCGCATTTGTTTTAGAAGAGTTCGTTCTGTGGTGCAGTGTGTGAGCGCGGGGCCGACGTTACGCTGCATTTAGTATTACGTCGACTGCTTCGCGGATCGGTCCGCTATTCTCTCTGTAACTCCCCGGCCGGCTACGGCCTTGCCCCAAGCCTCCTCGCCCCCGCCCGCATCTCCGTCGCCTGCCCCAGCCGTCCCCGCGCGGCCACACCTTACCTCAGCCCTTCCTCTGCCCAGCTCCGGCGCTCCGTCCCCGCCCGGCTACGCCTTTGCCCCAGCCCTCCTCGCCCCCGCCCGCATCTTCGTCGGCCTTGCCCAACCCCGTCCCCGCCGGCCACACCTACCTCAGCTTCCTCTGCCCAGACCCCGCTCGTCCCCGCCCGGCTACGCCTTGCGCCCAGCCCTCTCGCCCCCGCCCCGCATCTGCGTCGGTCCTGCCCCACCCGTCCCGCCCGCCACACCTGTACACAGCCTTCTCTGCCCAGCCCCGCTCCGTCCCCCTTTTTTGGATATGCCCGGCTACGCCTTGCCCCAGCCCTCCTCGCCCCCGCCCGAATCTCGTCTGGCCTGCCCCACCCGTCCCGCCCGGCACACCTTACCTCAGCCTTCCTCTGCCATGGCCGCCTCGCGTCCCCGAGCCCGGCTACGCCTTGCCCCAAAGCCCTCCTCGGCCCCCGCCCCGCATCTCGTCGGCCTGCACAACCCGTCGCCGCCTGGCCACACTTACCTCATGCCTTCCTCTCTCCACCCCGGCGCCCCCACGCCCCCCCCCCTTGGCTCACTGAGCCCTCTCGCCCCTGCCCCGCCACCTTCCCACGCCCGCCCCCGCCTTCCCCGCTCTTTTCATCCCGGCACAACCCCGCTTCTGCCCCGCGCCGCCGCACCCAGCTTCATCCTTTCGGGCGCGTCATCGCCTCACCTTACATTTATGATATGAAGACATACAATGCCGCTTCTGATCTCTGAACTGAGAGGCCGCCCGTTGGGCGGCCGCGTTTCCGTTTGTTTGCTTATCCGCGCGGCGGGGCGTGAGCGAGCCGGCGGACGGGCGCGGGCGGGAGCCGAGAGGTCCGGGAGGCGGCTCGGTACTCGAAAAGGCCCCGCAGTGCGCCCGTGAGGAAAATCAGAGCCTCGGCTGCGCTTAAATTTTCGCCGCTCTCTTGGCGCGCCGGCCGCATGCCGGGCTAATAAACGTAATGTGGCGGCGGCGGCGGCGACTCCGCGGCTTGGGAGGGGGGGGGGAGCGGTAAGCGCGGTCGAACAATGAAGCGGCCGGGACAAATGGCCAGCTCCAATAGCCAGAGTTCTCCCCGCCGCGCCGTTCCTTCAATATTTGTACGTGGATTGGGATGTAGTGTGATAGTGTACAGCGCTGCTAATCCTATCCGTAAGGCAGTGTAACGTCGATATTTCGAATTTGGAGGGAAAAGAAAGGATTCCAATTATGTGTATATTGATGTTGCCAACTTCTAAATGTAAAAGCTGCTACCGGTACAGGTTTTTCGACGTCTAGAATTCCCACCCTACTTCTTTTACAATATTAAATTGAAAAGGTAGCATGTGCATTATTTACTTCGTAGATGAACAATAATGTTTCGCTTTCATGTTGTCGAAACTATTTGCTTAATTAAAAACAATCTACAGATTTGATTTTATGGTATAACGGCGAAGCAATTAACTTCTCACTTCCCTCACACCTATCAAAACGGGAGCCCTGAACAACGTGTGCACATGCTAAACGAAAGGAAACGAAGAAAATTCTAAATCTTGGAGGTATTCAAATTGTCGGAGATGCTATTGCCTCATTGCCTTTTTTCAAATACAAAATTCCTATTCATTAACTTTTCGACCTATCGTTAATACTTTGCGATGTCTCCTATTCTACTTCCCACCGTAAGTTGCGCACACACTTATTCTAATGAGAGCTTTCGATAATCGCAGAGAGCATGGTATTTTTCACGCTGCGAGAAAACACTCATCTAGATACAGCGTTGGTGAAACATCAAATTGTGTAATCTTCCAAAGTATGTTAAACATAGTACATATTCCTTTCAAAAACATAAGAAACGAGAATGCAAGTTCAATTACTAGCAATACTTGGCAGTAATCCGAATATACCGATGATCAATCGAGCGTATAATGGCAAAGTACTATTACTGTAATCAGAACTGTGGCCTCTAATTTGCATAATAAATCTCTCGAAACAGTGGAAAAGTATATTACCGTACCATCAATTGGCAAATGCTTCATTAACGTTTGATTTTTAAAATGATTAAAAAAAAACATTACCACCTTTTTTAATTTGCACATACAATAATTGACATGAATACTGACAATCCTTTGAATAGTGAAGCAAGAAAAATTAGAGGTGTTACAACAGCACCAGATACCTGTCATTATTTCTAACTTTTGTAATTTTCAAAAATCCAGAGAGTTCAAAGAAAATGAGATATGCATCATTCATTTAAGCGTCTTTCACTTTCATTCAGGGACAAAAATTAATTAAACTAGAAGTGTGACAACAGCACATACTTTCTCGAATTATTTGTAACAGCTCCGCAATATTATACTAGTACATGAACCTGCAAAAGTATTTTCATCTAACTTTTTTTCCCACGATCCTTCGAGTTGACTCGCCTTGCTTATTAACGCTACTTCATGGAAAATGTCAATGGCTCCAACTCGAACGCTTAAAAATCTGATTGACACAATCCAATATTTCCAAAAAACATTCTTGAACAGATCAACGAAAATGAGACTTACGCCACTATTTTAAGCGTCACCTATTTATCCGAGGAAAAAATTAGAGCGTTTTTTTAAACTTCCTTTTTATAATTTGCATTAATGTTAAGCATAAATTATGATTTTGGACCTAATATTCGATACTCACTCTGTTTCATTTCGCGAAAACGTTGTGCTTAAGTAACTATAACAATTCAAGGCACTCTTGATTCCTTCATGGCACGTAGTATCAAAAGCAAATGGCCAAAAATTTCCCCTGGTGGCTTCTTCAGGGTCTCACTGAAATAGCCTAGAGAACTGCGGTATGGCACTGTAATTCTCATAATTAAGGAAATACAGAAATGGAAAAAACAAATTAATGTTAAATGAATTGAGTTGTCTTCTGTTATTCATTATTAATTTGAGGGTGACATTACGGGTTACCCCTAGTAATAATACAATCTTCACTAAAATCTGAGATATCTCACGAGATTAAAATTCGGTAGTACATTCTCTTTACTTAGATAACATACATACACGCATATGTCGTATTCGGCCTACAATACAGACAAGAATATTCCGTTAGAAGCATATAAAGTTAGAATATTGCACATGTCAGAACGAATGAATGATACACTCTTTCCTCACCGTACAGATTGGAGTACTGATAGGAAAGAAAGAATCACCCGCCTTAAATTCGTCGGAAGTTACTACAAAACTAACCTTGATGGCTACAATTTTCCTTGCACGTTACATATCAAATTTACGAGAAACATCACATAATGATATCAAGCGAGTTAACTCAGAGGATCTGAATTCGTGTCTTGGTACGCAAAACAATTTTTGATGGTTGAAAACACTTTTGCAGGTTTATATAGTACTAGCTTAACATTGCTGACCAGTTACAAATACCCCCTGCTACCCCCCCCCACCGTTTCTCCCGACGTCCTTGTCTCCCGCACATCAAAATTTCGAGAATTATATAAAGCGCACTTCAATTCTTGGAATCCATCCACAACGCCAAATACTGGACATCGCATTCTAAGGGCATGGGAATGGTTGAATAGTTTAGTTAAAACCATTTTTTCTCCTTTTTTACATGACACAAAAAGCAAATTCGTGAAAAGTATCCTTTCAATAAGCGTACCATTCTCCACAAGTTCGAAATGCAACTACGCGGAAGCTACGAAGTAACTACGAAAGAAGATTCCTTAGCTCTCTAAGTTTTTTCCTTAGCTCTCTGACCTGTTGTGTTCGTAAAGTCTTCTTGGGCTTATTGAACTCGTTGCGTCAGGCCGGGAGTTTCACTTCCTCCTCCGAAGCCTTCCGCGCGCATCTCCTCCGCTTCTTACTTCCCCCTTCCATTCTTTCTTACTTCCTTCTTCCACCCTACTGACCGTTTCGGTCAATCCGCCTTTCTATTATTTATGATGGCATGTTTGAAATGCAAAGCAAACTTCACTTCTTGAATTGTATAACGTTACGCGATAAATACTGGTTATCTTCGAGCAAAAACGTAAGAAGTGTTGTATTATTAGAACTTCCTCTCTTCTCTGTAACATTCAAATGTCGAAAAAAGAACAATGTAATGAGAGATTCAGTGCCCCCATCAGCAAAATGTGCCCAATATTTACATTTAAGATCATTTTTTTCAGACATCTGATACATATCTCATGGTGCAAGGGCGCTTCCAAAGTTTCTTTCCTGGCCCTGCGACCCTGAGCGATGGGTGTGTCCTGTGTTTGGATGTTACTGGGTCCCTGACTTTCACTTTCTCGTCCGCAATGTCGACTGCATCCACGCCCAAAAATGCATCACTCGTCTCTCGACCGAAGATGTGGCAATTCAACGAATACTGTGCATATCATAGGAAAGACACGAGAATATTATTGAATGTTTACACAAATCAATTATGCTGGAACGACTTACAGGCACTTCTATTTTTGAGTTTGTGGTTAAGTTTTTCATGACATCTTTTATCTCTTAGGGAGTCCACGTCTTAGATTTGTAGGAGACGGTTGTACAGCTTTTTGGGAGACGCATATAGTGTTTTTTTCGACGTTCCCTGTCTTTTATAGTACAAAATCGAACGTTTTGGTGTTAAAACATTTACGAGGACCTCCCGTCAACAAGCCAACTCTCTCCATTTTTCACATTTCAGGTCCAGTCCGAATCGCCACCACACAACAACTCGTGGTGCCAAGGAAGCATCCAAAGTTTCTTCAGTGGCCCTCTGACCCGGTGTGTAGGGTGTCGCACGGGCCGCGAGTTTCACTTCCACGTCCAGCGCCTCCTGCAGTCGCTCTCCCCTCCCCCTCCTCCTAGCTGCACCCCCATCCGGGTGCGCAGATCAGATTACGAGGGCCGGGGCCGCGCGTCGCTTCGCGTCGCCTCACGTCGCGTGGCACCCCGCGCCGCGCCGCGCAGCGCCGCCCTGCGTCGTATTTCCACACCAAGCGGCGTGTAAGACATTCGGACGCACCCCAGCCCTCGCCGCCCCCGCCGCCTCTGCACAGTGGTCTGATGAGAGTTCACAGGGAGCATTAAGCATGCGCACAACGACACACTTCTTTTTATTCTTTTGCCACTACAAACGCCCAACAAATTTTTCGTAAGTAAATACAATTTAAGTCTTAATTGCTGTAAGTCTTATTTATAATAAGGTCAAAATTACATAAGTGAAAAACGATGTCATGGCTTCACATAGTGTAACATAAATTTCAAGGATCGCCATTTTCATATGGGCTTCTTGCGGCAGCTCATCTTGATAAGAATATTTGTGTTATTGTGTACTTTTTTGTGCGCATTATTTTTGGACGGTGGTTTTGATGTACAGGGCAGTAGAGGTTTATATCGTTAAAGATAGTTAGTTTTGGCCAGCAGATGGCATGAATATGGCGTAAATAATTCCAGAACAAAAAATATCTTTGAAAGTAAAAATTAATTTTACGGGATATACAAAATTATAGACTAATTGAAAATTTAATTGGTTAAAAATATTATAATCAGGCAATAGAATAATGAATCAAGGTGAAATGATGTAAACAGAGAACTGAAGTGAAGTAAATTGGAGAAGCGTGTTAGATAAGGAATATGTGCAATTAAGGTAAACAATATTAAGGTAAACAATTAATTTCTTATTATACACAGTTAACTTTCTATATTTTCTTTACAATCATGATATTTGCAAGCATACATAAGTTCAAAGCAAACATTTACTAAATTGTAAAAATCGAATCTGTTTCCACGGCCCGTGGGCTACAACTTTTTATTCGATCTACATATCTCAGTTTAATGGCGTCTTGTATAATTTTATAAAATAAATTAATTTGTAGTGCAGAGTTATTTAATGTTTTAGAGCTCTGCCCTTTTAACGTTTTAAATTTAAATGGGGTCTTATAGATGAAGAAATTTATCAAATAAACTTCCTTTTTAGTTTCCAGTTATTTGAAGTTTCTAGATGTTTTTCCCTGGGCGTGCGTTTGGGCCCTGTTCGGAGCCGCGCGCGCCGCCGCCGCCGCCCCCCATGTCTCGTGGGCGGCGCGCGATAAAAAGCTTCCGAC